AGGAAGCTTCCTTGGAGAGGATGTTAGGATGGTGGAGGGTTTGGGTACTGCCTAGACACGTGATTGCTGTGATGATGAAATTGGCTTGGAGGAGATCGGAGATGGGGGCACAACCTATGGTGCCTGTGGCCTGGGACTGGTGAGTCGTGCTGTGGTAGGGTTTAGAGGGGGCTTACACCGAGGATTGGGACGTTCTGGATCATGGTTTACGGTTGCTGTGTTTTGTTTTCGAGGCAGATCAAGGCGGCCTCGACATTGTCTTTAATAAATCCATATTCACTATTCCGTAGGTCATTGAAGGAGAGCCTGGAAATCACACATGTTACTTTTCGTCCGCTCGTTGCTCGGAAACGTCAGCAATTCTTGTCGCGGACGCTGAACAGATCATCTCTTTTTCAAATGGTCCGCTGATTGATGTGCGTGAAGATTTGCGTCGAGGTATTGTCTTGAGGGAGGACTGCAACCGAGTTGTAGCGCTTTTATTCATAGCTCATGCATCGGCCGCCATTAAGTGGACACTATCTCCACTTTCGGTTAGTGAAATGCTTAGCCAGGATGCAGACAGGATGCCGACAGCGGCATCATCATTCTAATCAACGTGCTGACGCAATTGTCCCATCTTCCTTGATTTAGCAGAATGAATCGCTACTTCAGCGGTTGCTGCATCGGCCGCTCCTCAGCACCCACTTCGTGTCAATATCGCCTTGGAACACCGGCAGCACACCCACAACATGATCCCGGTGACGCAGAAGGCAGCGAACACTTGTAATTATTGCCGAACGCGCAAACAGCGTTGTGATCGTACTCTACCGAGCTGTTCACGATGTGCTGCGTACGTGAATTCAGACCACAGTTACTTTGTCATGGGCAAGACTACTAATCGCCATGTTCGATAGCAAACTTCGTCCATGCGACTACACCTGGGCCAAAGACGCGCCTCATCTCATCGATCGTGGCCTAGTCCAGGGCGGACCATTATTCGTCCAACGCAGAGCTTGTGGCTCTGACCTCTCTACCCGAGGCAGAGACGAGCTCCTGCAAGCGGTTACCGCATGCACGAACCGCGAACCTGGATGCACCGATAGGTTCTCGGAAGTGATCTCCGACATGCTCGATCTGGCCAACTGCAAAGTGTCCGACATGCTGGAAGAGCATGCCACGTCAATTCACCAATGGTGTCCTCTCCTAGACGAAGAGCTACTCCGGGAAGGAAGGAAGGGCGCGTACGATGACTTTCCATCAAATCTGCTGCCTAACCCACTGCTGCTACTTTGTGTGTTTATGTTAATAAGACCCACTTGCGCGCATACCGAGCACGTGTGCACTGGGGTCTTGTACACCACAGTGAAACAGCTACTTGCGATCGGTCAAGCAGCGGGCGAGGTCTCACTAGAGCTGTTTCGCGCCGGTATGTTGGTGGCAGTATACGAATGTGGACATGGGATGGCGAGACAGGCGCTTCAGACACTCAGTTGGTGCGTTGCTTTATTCGATCTGATCAAGCTTGACATGCATAAGCCAGACCGCGAAGTCTGTAGCGAGGAACTGATTTCCTCGCTAAACGCAGCCATTGTAATGCTTGATCGTATGATACCGCTGTCGAACATGTCCGGGTCCCTTCCATTGGTCTGTCCGACGAGGCATCCTCTGAGTGTGCACATCGCGAGCAGGATCGAGCCCGAGATTCCTCCACCGGCACCAACGCCGTATGCGAGCTCTCCGCGGAAAGTGCACATCAGAGCAATCGTGGCGCTCGATTCCGGTCGGGTACTTGAATACTCTCACGCATGTAAGAGTGGAGTTGCCGGCATGGAGACCTGCGACGAGGTAGATGCTGCAGTGGCGCTGGTCATCAAGAAATTGGTTGATAAACCTGAACCTCACACATGGCTTCATTGCGATGCAATAGCCATGGCATTTTGGTATGTATCCAGCAAGTGGCCTCCCACGCCGGTACGCGCTGATGATGAACAGCTCTCATCTCCTCCTCCAGCAAACCGAAGTTGAACGACTAGAAGCGCGAGGCATCTCTCCGTCTGATACAGCCGCTACTAAAGCACTCATGGCTCTACAATATTCTCGCCGCATGGCGTGGGACATGGTACATGTGATGATCGAGAAGATCGAGACAGAAGACGACCTGCCGTACCTTCCGTTCGCTGGTGTATGCTGCGTTATTCGCGCAGGCATTGCCGTCTTTGAAACGAGTAAATACGGAAGCGGAGATGAGCCGAGTAATGAAGAAATTCATGGTTTCTTGACGATATTGGAGTGGTTTGCCAGGCAATGGAGCGTTGGTGGTAAGTCCGATACCTAGCAGACGGCGTTCAGGCTCACCAAGTCCAGTCCAATACCTCGAACGCGCGCGAGCCCTTGCTCAGTCTTATGTTATTTTCCAGCACTAGCATAAGCGACTTGTGAGGACAGCTTTTCGAGTAATCCACTTTTTGAACGATCATGACATATGTGAGCGTGTAATTGTTTGCGCATGGTAGAATGCGATGCATAAATAAATATATACTAGAATAGCAGACGCCCAAAAATCAAGAAAAAGCTAGTTGAAAATCAAAAATTCCTCCACCAACGACTACGCAGCCCGCTGGAATCCATACTCGAAACGGCTTCGGTCTAGGTCGCAAATTCACATCGATTGAGACGTGACAGGGTACGCGACCGGACCGGAAATAGCAGGGATGCGTGTCCATCAAGGCTGTGGAGATACACTGCTGGCTGTAACGACTTGCAAACGTTGTTCTCGGCCAAAGTTTCTGCAGGTGGCGCCGGCTTATAATGCGTGGCGCGATGTGGCGGTTGTCCCACTCAACCTGGAGCAGGTCGGTGGCATCGAACCAGGTAGATTTCTTCTGATCTGGCACATGCGAGTGGCTCAAAGCTTGCGGTATGCCATGTCCGGCATAGCCATTCTCGGCGGCGCCCTCATATCTTTGGGTGGCACTGGCGGCGGTTTCTCGTCATTCCATTCTTCGTCGCTGTAGACAGAGGAGGCATTCGTGCCCCTGAAAGTCCCAGCGGTCAGTGTACCCAACGTGATAAACATCTCCTTTGCTTGTAAGAGACCCCCGCGCTTGCTGCTACTTGGAGAAGGCAGCGGCGTCTCGCTCTTCTCTGGTATGTTCAAGGCGTGTTTCGTGCGAGTGCGCTGCGCTCGGGAGAGGAGTGGTCGGAGCGTTGGGATAGAGGCACAGATGATGCCGACGTTGACTTCGGTCATCGACCAGACGTGGAGACCGAGAGCGTCGTAGTAGGGGTCCATGGAGTGAAGCGCGACGACGAGGAAATGGAAGCGAATGATGGAGCAGAGAGTACCAAAGGCACCGAGTCCGAAGACTGCATATACAGCAATCTTTTCGCGAGTTGGTCGGGGAATAGAGAATATGAGCCGATACGGCAGAAGCAGTATCCACATGTCCATTATGATGTGAAAGGCAGATGTGACTGAGGTTGTCAGCAAGTCAAACAACGCAGGCGAAGTGCGACGCACTGTAGTAAAAGGTTGCTGTATCGATGCAGTGTCCGGGAACAGTGCCAGTGAAATCCCACATTTTGCGAAGAGGGATGCATTCTAGCGGTATGATAATGAGGACAATGGCCTGGTAGGTGAAAAGAAGATAGATGCTGCCTTTGCAAAGCCATGCAAAAGCCTTGGTTACAGCTGGAGCATGTCAGGAGTGCCCGTGGCGAGGATGTGATATACCACGTACACAATCGAAGGTAGATCATCAAAATGGATGCTTTGATGAGGGTAACAATTGTTTTGTACACCGCGATTACCGCGAGACCCAACTACAGAGTGTAAGCTACGTCCAGAGCCCTTTGGTGATGTGAACATACTTTGGCACTTTCGACAGATTTCTCCATCGTGAGAGATATTCCACTAAATCCCATGTTGTACTTTTTCAAGCTTACGAGAAATAGAGACGCGAGAACCATTGTGAGTACCTGAATAGGTCAGCCATTGTTGCACCACTAGGCGATGAGTTCTTACTGCCGCCAGGATCATGGTCCAATCTTCGTTTCCCATGTTGCGAAAGACATACGCGCGCGTGTAGACACGCAGGCTTACACATGCCACTTGTGGTTGTCAGTAGCTGAAGTGAGACCCAATGAGCTAACGTACTCCCAAGCAGGCTCGAGACAATAATGGCTCCGACGGCAACATTTTGTCGTGTTTGCTCGTCGCCAGGCGGGTACATCTGTAGCGAGAAGGTATTGTTTGACATGATGACGACTGGTGTGCATCTCAACAGTCAGGCAACATCGTGGCGACTGGTGCTACCGCTACTATATCATATCGATCGCGGCCATCGTACTCCCGCTCAAAGTTTAAGTTTGGTCGTGAAACGTGTGGAGGCCGATTCTGCATGCTACCAAGCTATCACAAACGCGAAATCCATCAGATGCAGGTGATGTAGGCCGGTTCTGGTCAGAGAGCCTGAGCATTGCCGCCAAGCCAGGGGTTGACTGCCATGTAAGCGTCTCTGAATCCTACAGGTACTTGTGGTCCAAAGGGCAGGCTTGGAAACGTCATTATAGCAAGCAACAATCTCCGTGCGTCAGGTCTTGAGCGAGCGATGAAGTTCTGTTCTACGTCTGATGCACTGAAGAGGTACAAGGTACAATCGCAAGAGGAGCCCAATTTGCTCAGAACGACGAACCTCTCGAAGAGCGAAAGTCCAGCTTTCGACGAGACACGTAGCCGTCAACTGTCAAAGATTATGACATCTGCACGTGTGCCGTGATCAAGGGCGTCGGTTTCTGCGTTGATGCTTGCAGCGTGAGAGGTCGGTTTCAGAACGTGCCACCATGCGCGAGGGGTAGGGAGACTATCGATAAGTATAGGGCGTCTGATTGGACCATAAATATCTTCCTAAACACCAACAATCCTAACTAAAGACCCTGAAGGAAAAATATAAAAACGTAAGGTAAGAAAGTGCGCACGAAGGATGGGCGTTGGAGACAAAAATTAGCAAAAAGAAGATTGTCCCGTGCCAGACTCGAACTGGCGGCCTTGGGATATCTGCTACATTGAACAGTCATAGGATGTACTATGAGACCCACGTGATAACCAACTACACCAACGAGACGTTACTATTCTTTGAACGTTGTTAAAAAATTTCAATTTTGTAATCTATATATATGCTAGTAGTAGTGTCAAAAATTGCTACAAGCCGAGATCCAAAGCGACAGCGGTAACAGCGCTAAGTGGGTCGCCTCCATCCCCGTGATACACTCACGAAAGTACCACGAGAAAGTACGAGTCTTCCTTAGCTCCCGCCCTCCGGAAACACAACGGTGGCACAACCAACGCGTTCTAGAACTTATTTTCGACTACCTTGAAACTAACTCCGCGACAGCAAAACAGCTGCGTGTCATTTGGATAGCGCCCAACTTCGCCCGACGGTTCGCCTACTATCCTAAATGCAAGCCATGATCAGAGCAGGAAGGCACCGCCAATCGCAGCTGACAACCTTGGACTGCACCCCCAATTTACGCCCCAATATCCACCCCCGATCGATGCGGCATTCCAGCTTTTAGGTTTAGCCGCGACGCATGGAGCTTGGACGCTTCGGTTGCGCGACGACCCGTCCATGGCGGGCGGGGTACACCTACACATACAACAATCTCCCCTCGTCGAGCATCTGGCCTGCTCCTACGTTCACTTTCCCCACCATAATCGACGGAGACGTATTTAACGCGTAGAAGACTCTTCTGCCACAATGGAGTTGCGGTCAGGTAGCTTTGTCGGAGTGCACTTCACGTTGTTCAACGTTTTCGCCACTTGCCTCACGTACTTTGCTGTCACTATTGCTCTCAACTTTCTGCGCGCACCGAAGTACCCGGACGAGCTGCCTTGGGTTGGCTATGGGAAGTCATGGTCGGCTTCTATTAAGAACTTCTTCGAGGGTTTCACCAAATGCCGCGACTGGCTGCAAGACGGCTACAAAAAATATCACAAAGAGGGTCGCGCATTCGTCATCCCATCGACACTTGGCATGTCTGCGGAAGTCTCGATTCCTCGGTCGCAGATGCAATGGATGCTTGATCAGCCAGACAGCGTGCTGAGCACGGGTGAAGCACACTTCGATACTCTAAACGGCGCGTACGCGTTCATCGACCCGGTCCTCTTAAAGGATGCGTACCATGAACACGTCATTCACAAAAACCTTGCTCGTAATCTGAACGCCATCATACCAGAGCTTGTTGAGGAAGTGAATGATGATGTTCAAGAGGTGTGTGGCGCCGATACACAGCAGTTCAAGAAAGTCAATCTCATGGATGAGTTCCTCATGGGCATCATCCCGAAAATCACGAATCGAATGCTGGTCGGAAAATCGGTCTGCAGAAATCCTGAGTTTTTGAAGAACATGATGGCCTTTACGATGGATGTCGTGTACGGCTTCATGTTCTTTCCGCTGTTGCCTCGACCGTTGCATCCTTTTCTCGGGCCCATCTTTAGCCTGCTCCCAAAATATCATTATTGGAAGGGACGGAAGTACACATTGCCCATAATCAAGAAGAGACTAGAGGATATGCGAAGGAAAGACGCTGACGACCCGGCGTATGCTGATTGGAAGGCACCGAACGATTTCATCAGCTGGAGCATCCGCACCGCCATGGACGAGGGTAAAACAGACGAGTTAAAGCCAGGTCGAATTGCGATGCGCGTATGCCCATTGAATTTTGCAAGCATTCACACAACGGCCTTAACGGCACACAGCGCCCTCATCGACATTCTAACCGCGGACCCGAGTGTCGTGGAAGCGCTGCGCGAAGAAGCTACTCGCATATACAATGAAGATGGCCAGCAATGGACGAAGAACGGACTGGCACGAATGTACAAGCTCGACTCGGCGATTCGCGAATCCCAACGGCATTCTACTATGGCAATGAGCCTCATCAGCAAGAAGGTCGTCGCGAAGGAGGGTGTTACAAGCCCGGAGGGCATCCATTACCCGAACGGGTGTCTCCTGACCTATGCTTGGTTACCAGTCGCTCACGATAATGACGTGTACGAAAAGCATGATACCTACGATCCCTTTCGCTTTTCAAGGGATCGAGAGCGATTCGAGTCTATGACTTTGGAGGAGAAGGCTGGTGTGGATGTTCTGAAGCTTAGGCAAAGTGGCATGGTTACGACTGGCCACTCGCACCAAGCTTTTGGTCACGGACGACATGCCTGGTGAGTGGGGTCACAAGTAATACTGAAGTCTCTAAGCTAATTGCATCCAGTCCCGGTCGCTTCTTTGTCGCGCACGAGCTCAAAATCATGTTTGCGTACCTTTTCATGAATTACGAAATCAAGCCTATTTTGGAGAGGCCGGAACTGAAATGGGTGGGGAGAGCCTCTATGCCTCCAAATGTAGACATTGAGGCACGGAGACGCCAGCTGGGTTAGTGCGCTTTGTGCCATTGTTAAAAACATTTTGTAAGCTTTTTCAAGCCTTCATACAAAGCGTAATACTCCGCACCCATGCCTGCCCAGTATTGTCCACGGCTCCTGTAACCATTCCGGAAGAGGCTAGTTCGCTACTACTCCGGAATAGCTTGGGTTAGTGCTGACACATTGCAACCACAATCTCGAGTTCGTCTCTAGAATTGTATATTCACTACTATCCGTATGCAAAAAATGTCTTCTACTTTGGCGTGTCTATAGCTTAACGTTGCTGGCGGTAGGCTATCGTGCTTCTCCTTCCCCAACGCTCCAGCTCCGCATCTTAATGACGCAATCTCCACTTAAGCATCCCTATAATGACCCTCCGCTCGTACGAAGTTTTCCGACCGTGCAGATACTCAACAAGCTTCTGTTCGGCCCAGGCGGACTGCCCCCACCCCCAGACGCCGACCAGCGTATAGTATCGATCTAGCTCGGCGAAAGAAACACCATGCGGACCCTAGCCCTCCCGAAATGCCGGAACCAAAATCGAGAGTGCGCTGCTAATCCGCTGCTTCCGAAGCTTGATAACACTTCAACGCTGTCGTCATCATCTTCGAAATGTTTATAGGGTGGTTCACTCTTCCATCCGCGATGCACAGGGACCACACCCGCAGATTTCGTAGCCATGTTCGACCTCGCCTCGACCTATACAAATCCCGTTCGGCGGACCAAGACGTCTTAGCGCTTCCAACTAGGCGAAAATCGCGGCCTACTACTCCGCTTGAAGCCGAATCAAAATCGTACCTGGTTGAGCTCGCAAGCCAAGATGATCCGGCGAATGCGAAGAACTGGAAGTTTAGTGTGACGGTTCAGTATGGAAGCTTGGGCCACCCGTGCGGCCCGTGCACGTGATGCACACAGTATATAGCTCCTGTAGAGTAGCTACTCAATCAACAACGATTGCCTCAACACTCTACTCTTTTCGACGTTACATTTAGCCGCAAGATGATCGCGTCAACCATACTTGGCTTTGACACTCTGGTGGCTAGTTGGGCCAGCAGTGTATACTCCTCGGCCGTCGATCCTGTCAGTCAAGAATTCCACGTTGGGACTGTGGTCTCACTATTAGGCTTGACCTTGTATATCTGTGGTTTTGCAACTGGACCTTTAGCATGTGCGCCGTTGAGTGAGCAGTATGGGCGCAAGTACCCTATTACGATTGCGGCATTCATCTTCGTAAGTGCTCTGTCGTTGACCGTTACTGAAATCTTAGGTCACACTCATTGTGCAGACATGTTTCATGTTCACATGCGCTACAGCGAAAGATTTCCAGACACGCATATTGTGCTTTTTTCGCTGGCGTCATGGCATCGTGCCCACTTGCTGTTGTCGGTGGCGCTTTCTCCGATCTCTTTGGCAATGAGACACGGTAAGATGTCCACTCTCACCTCCGCTACCCTTCACTCACAAAATTAGTGGAATCGCGATCGCGAGTTTCTCTGCGATGGTGTCCGTTGGTCCCTTTATCTCACCTATTGTTGCGGCCTTCATTACTGAAAGCTATTTGGGTTGGAGGTGGACACAGGTATGTTTTTCATGTTACGCACGTCCGCATTGCAGTACGGACTCGTCTCCTACTCTACAGTATATCACGGGCATCATGGGTGCACTTGCTACGGTTCTTGATGTCTTGTTTCTGGAAGAGACCTACCAGAAGACACTTCTTCAGAAGTGCGCCCAGTTCATCCGGTCCGAAACCGAAAACTGGGCTATTCATCATGTCTTCGAAGAGGAGCTCCTCGACTTCAACGACCTTGTGCACAATCATCTGGCTTTACCCTCGCGCCTCCTTTTCCTCGAGCCAATCGTATTCCTCATAACCCTCTACACGGCAGTAAGTCGCATCAGGGTTTGGGTTATGTCATCAGCGGCCTTAACTGGCCACCCGACTTCGCACCGTCAAGCTCAATTTATGTTCCATGACTAATTCATCCTAGTTCATCTACGGGATCCTTTACCTGTTCCTCGAAGCCTACCCGGTCGTCTTCGCTGAGTATCGTGGAATATCGTCATCCGTGTCCACTCTCATGTATATCGGGTTGATTATTGGTGTTCTAATAGGCGGTTGGATAATCATCGCGTTTGAGCCCCGCTACAACCGACTACTGAGGGTCAACAACGGAATACCCGTTCCTGAGGAGCGACTCCCACCTATGATGATCGGTGTTATTATTTTTTCTTTTCCCAATCGGACTATTCTGGTTCGCGTGGACGGGCAACTACCCCAGCATCAATTGGGCTGTACCCGCTGCTTCAGGATTTTTGACGGGCGCCGGCATTATGACGATCTTCCTACAAGCTCTCAACTATCTTGTTGATGCATATCTCGTGGCGGCTACAAGTAGCATAGCAGCGAACACGTTCCTAAGGAGTTTCTTTGGCGCTGGGTTTCCGTAAGTGGTTCCTCGATGATCTACAGTCTTTTAGCGACACAATTTTTTCACAACTTGGGCGTCGACTGGGCTGGGTCCCTAATTCGTTTCCTCGCCGTGGCTTTCATGCCTATACCCTTCCTATTCTATATTTTTTGCGAGCGGTTGAGGAAAATGAGTCGATACACCTTTACCGATTTGATTAAGCCGCAAGGAGGGGATGAAGAGGCTCCGTCAGGCAAAGTAGAATGAGATTAGAAGCAGAGGCGACCAGAGC